CTCATCCGCGGCAGGTACATTTTCTTCCACCGCAGGCTCCTTTGGCTCCATGGTTTCCAAAAGAGAATTGCCACCATCATTGACCACAGCTGCCACATTGGCTCCGGCGTAGCCCTTGCTATTTCGTTCCTCGCTGCTAACTTCAGGTTGCACCAGTGCGTCCACCTGTGAACCTCCGTCGTCAGCTGCTACGGAGACCTGCGCCCCATTGTTGCAGTCGTCCGCGGAACGTGACACCATATGCGCCTCAACCCGTGCTTCCTTCGCACTCCAGGTACTATCTGGCACATTGACCCGCGCATCATTGGCGCTCCAGGCCTCATCTTTCAGATCGCCCGTGTCTCCAGCTATTCCAGAAGCTTCTTTTTTCCCTTGAATGGCAAGATTCTTGGCACCAAACGAAGAGACCTCCTCAGTCGTAACGCACAACTTTTTCCCTCCGTCCTCCAAATCTCCAGGATCACCTTCCTGAACGACAGGTACCACATCCACCACTCGCTCTTCTGCAGCCGACACAGTTCCAATCTCCGCATTGGGCATTTTTTCTTCTGGACCCACCGATTCCACCGCTGCCACACCCTCAGAAAGCGCTTCCATTTCTTCCCGATCCAGATGTTCTCCAGCGATGTCTGCTCGGCTTCCAGAAATCCCTTCCTCATCAGGAGAACCCGAGGTCGGGGCGTCACCACCAGCCCTAAGACCGCTATCCCTGATAGTAGAGGAAAAATCCTTTTCACCTACACTATTTACACCGCTGTTGACACTTTCCAAGCTACCCTGTTGTGCCCTGAAAGACTCAGTAGGCGACGAGGACGAAGTAGTACCCAGTGCTGGCTCTTCTTCCACAGGGACAATGCCCATTCCAACACCAGACCCTTCACTGTTTCCAGCCATCCCAGTCTTCTTAGGCAACACCCATTGGGTATCTCCCGTGTCTAAGCAGTAAAGATATTCTCTCCCATCCTCGTGAAAATGGCGTTCCCATGTCTTCCCATCACAGTCGATGATTGGAAGGTCAGCAGCTTGAGACAATTTGCCTCCACCATCAGCGTATAAGTCTTCATCTGACTCCTGCTGTATTCTCGCTGCCTCCAATTCCAGGATTTCTCCTTCACTCATCACCATAGCAACAGGAACGACTCCTTCTGCGTCCCCAACGACGAGGATACTGCTTTTTGTCGCAGCAACAGGCGCAGTTTCTTCCGCTTCACCTGTCAACAGATCACCACTTTCAGCCGCGAAGCTCACTTTGTTGCGAGCTCGCTTGGAAACAGGGATAACATCCCCAACCAGCTCTGTCTGGCACCCTTGCTCCACCATCTTTGACGTAGAGGAGCTTGTTGTTGGCGCTCCCGTTGATTCAGCAGGTCCCGCAGCTCGAAGACAAAGCCCATGTTTACTCAGAAGGCGCAGCAAAACTGCTTCCATCTGGTTTTCCAGTCCTTCCACCACCGGCTTCTCTCCGCCACGCATACCACCAGCATCAACCAGAGCTTCCACATTGGGAACAACTTTTTCACCCGTTGCAGACCTTTTGACACCACCTTCACCTTGATCGCCCACATTGGAGCTCGATGATGCCGTACCAGTCCGTAACCAGTTGGTCGCCATGGCTTCAACTATCACCCTAAAGCCGAAACACAGACCGCAGGGAACCTAATTTGGGCTCATAACCTACGGGGGCAACCGAAAGGGAAAGGAAACCAACCCCAACAGTCGCCAGAGATTTCACCCTGAACCAACCAGCAAACAACAGGAACTCAAAACTTCTTTTTGTTACCAGGCGCATGGCCCAGTCTTGAGCCATGAAGATTAGCAGGTACATTGACCCTTCAACTTCCAACACCAACTCCTTTCTACAATACCAACTGCAGCTCCGCACCCTAAACCCTAAACCCTAAACCCTAAACCCTAAACCCTAAACCCTAAACCCTAAACCCTAAACCCTAAACCCTAAACCCTAAACCCTAAACCCTAAACCCTAAACCCTAAACCCTAAACCTCTCTTTCATATATAATTTAAATGTTAAGGAGTTACTGGGCAAGGTCGCCGTTTTACTGGGCAAGGTCGCCGTTTTACTGTGCAAGGTCGCCGTTTTACTGGGCAAGGTCGCCGTTTTACTGGGCAAGGTCAGTTCGGTCAAAAAAATCGACCTTGCCCAGTAAAACGGCGACCTTGCCCAGTAAAACGGCGACCTTGCCCAGTAAATCGGCGACCTTCCGCCCCTGCCCAGTAAAAATACGACCTTGGACCCCGAAGGTCGCCGTTTTACTGGGCAAGGTCGCCGTTTTACTGGGCAAGGTCGATGTTTTGACCAAAATCGACCTTGCCCAGTAAAACGGCGACCTTGCCCAGTAAAACGGCGACCTTGCCCAGTAAAACGGCGACCTTGCCCAGTAAAACGGCGACCTTCGGACACCCCCCCCTGCCCAGTAAAAATGCTACCTTCGGCCCCGAAGGTCGCCGTTTTACTGGGCAAGTTCGCCGTTTTACTGGGCAAGGTCGCCGTTTTTACTGGGCAAGGTCGATTTTGGTCAAAAAATCGACCTTGCCCATGAAACGGCGACCTTGCCCAGTAAAACGGCGACCTTCGGGGTCCAAGGTCGCATTTTTACTGGGCAGGGGCGGAAGGTCGCCGTTTTACTGGGCAAGGTTGCCGTTTTACTGGGCAAGGTCGCCGTTTTACTGGGCAAGGTCGCCGTTTTACTGGGCAAGGTCGATTTTTTTGACCGAACTGACCTTGCCCAGTAAAACGGCGACCTTACCCAGTAAAACGGCGACCTTGCCCAGTAAAACGGCGACCTTGCCCAGTAACTCCTTAACATTTAAAATATATATGAAAGAGAGGTTTAGGGTTTTGGTCGAACCTTGCCCAGTAATCGACCTTGCCCCGTAAAACGGTGACCTTGCCCAGTAAAACGGCGACCTTGCCCAGTAAAACGTTGTTTTACTTTTACTGGGCAAGGTCGCCGTTTTACTGGGCAAGGTCGATTTTGTGACCGAAGGTCGCCGTTTTACTGGGCAAGGTCGCCGTTTTTTTGACCAAAATCGACCTTGCCCAGTAAAACGGCGACCTTGCCCAGTAAAACGGCCGTTTTTTTACTGTACTGAAATCGACGCGTTCTGGGTGGCCTCTCGTTTTCCGGATTTTCGACGAAAACCGAGCCTTCACCGACAGGGGCTTTTAAACCGTGGGTTTAGGGCCCCCGCCACCCCCCCCCGTCCCACCCGTCGTAACGCCTCACCCCTTCCAAGCACATCACCCCCCGATAAGCAAGACCTGGAATCATGTATTTTCACTCGTAACGTCTCATCCCTTCCAAGCACATCATCCAAGCACATCACCCCCCGATAAGCAAGACCTGGAATCATGCACTTTCACTCGTAACATCTCACCCCTTCCAAGCATGATTCCAGGTCTTGCTTATCGGGGGGTGATGTGCTTGGAAGGGGTGAGGCGTTACGAGTGAAAATGCATGATTCCAGGTCTTGCTTATCGGGGGGTGATGTGCTTGGAAGGGGTGAGACGTTACGAGTGACAGTGAAAATGCATGATTCCAGGTCTTGGTTATCGGGGGGCGATGTGCTTGGAAGGGGTGAGACGTTACGGCATGGGTGCGTCGGACTAGAAATTAAGAAAAACTTTTTATTTTCTTAATGTTATGGGATTCTTTGGGCGGGTGGGTTTTTTTCCGTTGCCTACACACACTGCTGGCCTAGTAAATGCTCGAACTTGAGATGCTGAACCCTAAACCCTAAACCCTAAACCCTAAACCCTAAACCCTAAACCCTAAACCCTAAACCCGCCCGCCACCCCACTCTCTTGTCTTTTGGGGTAGGCGGGCGCTGGTCGAGCGCTCAGTGAGACCCTGCGAGAGAGCCCCAACCGGGCGACCGAGCTGGCCTCCAGGCTGGCTTACCCTCCAGGCAGGCACAGGCCGAGTCAGCAGTTGTCACTGTATTATATTACATTACCCTGAACCGAAGCTGTCCGCGCACATGGTTGGGTCCTGCATTGGAGGGCCCCCTGGGACGGCCCCTTGAGACCCCTGGTCCATCACCCCCGTCCGCTGGGCTGAGGGGACCAGGGGCCGTTTTGTTGGGGCAGGCAGGGCTCTGGTCAAAAGGCTTTTCTGGCCTGGCCCTGCCCTGGCCCTGGCCTGGCCCTGGCCCTGGCCGTGGCCCTGGGTGTGGCCCTGGCCCTGGCCCTGGCCCTTGGCTAGGGCCCTTGGGCCTGCCCCAACCCTGGCCCTGGCCCTCCCTGGCCCTCCCTGACCTGACCCTCTGCCCTGACTGGTTTTGCGGCCCTGACCCTGGCCTCTGGCCTGTTCGAGTCATCTTACCCCCTTGCGCCAAGCCAAGCTGTGCGCGCACCAGTTTGTGTCCTGTTTCGGGGCTCTCCCTCTGGCTTTAGCCCCTTCGCGCCAACCCAATCTGTCCTGTTTCGCTTCCGTTTGCTGCAACTTTGTGCCTGGTCCTGACCCTGGTTCGGCACCCCACCTTACCCCGTTCGCGCCAAGCCAAGCTACCAGCCCTGTTTTACTGTTTTTTTGGTTAACCCAAGCTGTTCGCTGTGTGTTCTTCCTGGCTGGAGCCCCTTCGCGCCAACCAAGCCTCGCTGCCTTTCTCTGTTCCTGGCCCATCCCTTAGCCCCTTCGCGCCAACCCAAGCTGTCTTCACGGACCCTGCCTCGTTTCCGTCTGCTGCAGCTTTGCGCCTGGTCCACGCACCTTGTGGAAATCCCCAAAAAGGGTGTGAGTGCTGACTCATGTGATGCTTTGTAAAAAATAAAAGGTCTTAACTCCTTGAGAGTTGTAAGTGGGCGGTCTTGGGGTGGGTAGGTCTGCAGACTACCGCGCGCTCCCAAAGCGCGCTCCCGTCTGGCACGCCCTAAACCCTAAACCCTAAACCCTAAACCCTAAACCTTAAACCCTAAACCCTAACCGCTCGTCGCCTTCTTGAGGCCGTGGACTTCAAGCTCTTCGATGCCGCGAACGTCATGAACACCTGGTCCACCTGCCCCTCTGCGCATCGCTACTCGGCCCGAAATCCAAGACAGTGAGCCCCTAAGGGTTTAGGGTTTAGGGTTTAGGGTTTAGGGTTTAGGGTAACCCGAAACCCTAAACCCAAAGCCACCCCCGCTCAGGGGTCATAATGCTTTCGAGCCACTTTGAGAGCAGAAGCACTAGGCCTGCCCACTCCTGTGTGTGTGTGTGTGTGTGCGCCGTCTCCGAGACCTCTAGGCCTAGGTCCCTCAAGCCCCGACAAAACCCCCCCCAAAAAAAAAAGTCAGATGAAAAAGAACGCAAAGCTCAAACGCACTGTGATTGCAATAGCCAGTGTAAAATCAGCGTGGATAATAGATGATGGTGATAGACTTGTTATTTTGGTCTGTTTTTGTTGGGGGCGGGAGGGAACAGAAATGAAGAAGCATGCAGGAGGAAGAGAGGGCAGGAAAGCAAGCATGGCAACAAGGCAGCAAGATAAAAAGAAAGAAACAACAAAGGGAGATTGATAATATTGGGCCTTAATATTTTGAATAGGGCTTGGGGGTTATTGTACTATAATCCTAAAGGGACCATAAGGGACTAGTATGAGAATTTTTTCCGACCCTTATATTGTGTAAGGCTCCAACACCCTAAACCCTAAACCCTAAACCCTAAACCCTAAACCCTAAACCCTAAACCCTAAACCCTAAACCCTAAACCCTAAACCCTAAACCCTAAACCCTAAACCCTAAACCCCTAAACCCTAAACCCTAAACCCTAAACCCTAAACCCTAAACCCTAAACCCTAAACCCTAAACCCTAAAACCCTAAACCCTAAACCCTAAACCCTAGACCTTTTCCCCTAAACCCATGAGCCCAGAAACCTCACAATTTGAGGAGGCCTCCTTCTCGCTCGGTTGGCCAACAAGATTGAGGCGCTGCCGCTGCTGGGACCTAGCTAGGGTTTAGGGTTTAGGGTTTAGGGTTTAGGGTTCAGGGTTTAGGGTTGAGGGTTTAGGGTTTAGGGTTTAGGGTTCAGGGTTCAGGGTTTAGGGTTAGGGTTTAGGGTTTTTTTGTTTAGCGGGGGCGGGGGGGGGTGAGGCAAGTGGAGGGAGAGGCGGGTTCTGAACAGCTGCTGGCCTTAACCTCGGAGGGGTTAAACCCTAAACCCTGAACCCTAAACCCAAAACCCAAAACCCTGAACCCTATACCCTAAAGCCTAAAGCCAAAACAAGTTCCGTAGTTTTTGTCGGTAGGCATTCCCATGGCAAAACAGGTGCCGTATATTACAAACTTGCTTTCCGTCGATCATCCCCACTCTCCGGGTTGGCCCTCCAGGGACTCTTTGGGGATACTCCGGGGTTGGGCATTCCGGGACACTCTGGAAATAACCTGGGGTGGGATACGGGTGATAGGGCGAAGAGTAGACTGGGCGAGTTAAAGAATCGAGCAACCCAACACCGAGGAGGGGGGGGAACAAAACAGGGGCTGGAAATCCGAAACCCTAAACCCTAAACCCCTCTGCCCCCCTAGCAGCGGCTGAGGCCCACGGAGCACGGCAAGGACTCGGCCAGGCGTGTGATCTTGAACACCGAGTACTTGGCCCGCGACTTCGTCATGGATGTGAACCTGTCAGGCCGCAGGGGCCCTAAACCCTAAACCCTAAACCCGAAACCCTAAACCCTAAACCCAAAACCCAAAACCCTAAACCCTAAACCCTAAACAGGAGATTAAGGGTGCCTGGCTTGAAGGAGTGCGTTGCATGTTGGAGTCTTGTGCAGTGCAGGTTGGATACTGTCGTGTGGCGCTTTCCTTCTGGGTGTGTATTTTTCCAGGTCACTTCTCTAAATTAATGTCCCTTTTGGGGTTACTATTAGAAGGTCGCCCCTAATATTGCGGGTACCCAAAAAGGGACGACCATTTTGAGAACTGACCACATGTCCCCTTCTTGGGTCTAAGAGGATCACATGTCGAAAAAATTGTTAGATGGTTTTAAGGGCCATCCTCGTGTTCAATGAGACGTGTTTTTTTTTTTTTTTTGCGGGGCCAGTTGTGACTCGGCCTGAAGCCGAAACCTTGAATCCTTATCCTAAGGACTCCCTACTACACCCTAGATCCTCTCAACCCTAAACCCTAAACCCAAACCCCAACCCGAAACCCTAAACCCTAAACTCTAAACCCTGCTACACCCTAGATCCCAAAAATGCTCTCGAAGCACCAGCCTGGTAGGGGTAAGTATGTCGAGAACAACCGAAGGGCCTTCTGAACCTTGCCTCTGAAGCCCAAAGTCCAGGTCTTCCCGACATGATTTTTGGGGTTTAGGGTTTAGGGTTTAGGGTTTAGGGCCGAGGGACTCAGGGACGTCCAGGATGTGTGTACATGCCATTTGCCTTGAGTTGGCTGCCATGGCCATGGATGTCCCAGGCTACCTCATGAGTGGGACCAGCTACGCGCCATGGTTCCACATCGGCCAAGCCTCTTGGCAGGCCAGTGGTACCCTTTACCTTTTTTTTTGGTTCTGGGCTCTTAGAAAGTAGCCAACCCCAAAAGGGTGCCCTTATTATATGGTTACTGGGCTACTAAGGCCTACTCCACCATCAAGACGAAGTTTCCGGACATTCTGCAGATGATGGGCGAGCCAAGCCCCTCCGCGCAGCGCCTCATGGATGAACAGAGAAGAGCGGCTTCGGAATCGTGGGCAATTTCCGTTAGTGCAAGGTAAACCCTAAACCCTAAACCCCAAACCCTAAATGGCAAACCCTAAACCCTAAACCTAATCCCTAAACCCCAATCCCTAATCCCTAAACCCTAAACCCTGTAGGGTAGCTTCCGGAGTCCGAGAAGCAGATATGGAGCTTGATAAGGGGATGATTATTGTTCTAAACATGTGTGATATTATTAGTTTTCGATATGTTGATTGAGAATAGTACTGATATTACGGATATCCCCATTATTACCAGTATTCCCACGCGTTACTTGCATTATTCGTTCTAAGTGCATATTATGCTTATTATGATTGTTATCATTATACTGATCTTCCCAGGTGTACCCTTCCCTGAAACCCAAGCGAACAGACAGGCCCAGATAATAGGCTTTCAGCACCGCCTGAGCCTCACACCCGCCATCATCCCAATCGTTAAAACCCCGGAAGCCGTAATATGGGGGTGGGAATAACTACTGATGGTGTTTCCTTATAGTCCCTTTGTAATTACACGATAAAACCCCCCAAAAATTCTATTCTAATCATTTAGGCCCCTAAATTATTTTCGCCCACCCAGGTGAAGAGTTGCTCGCCACCCTGCGCAGCTACTTGGAGCAGGCGGGCACATTCAATGGGAAGTTCGAGGGACAAACGGAGCCACTCCCAACCCCAAACCCCCAAAACCCCTAAACCCCTAAACCCCAAAAACCCCTAAACCCCTAAACCCCTAAACCCCTAAACCCCTAAACCCCTAAACCCCTCAACCCCAAAACCCCTAAACCCCTAAACCCCTAAACCCCTAAACCCCTAAACCCCTAAACCCCTAAACCCCTAAACCCCTAAACCCCTAAACCCCTAAACCTTAAATCCTAAACCATAAACCTCAAACTCCCCCAAGAAACCTCAACCATTAGGCTAAACCGCCAGGGGCCTTGTGCTTGTAGGGTTGTTACAAGGAGCCACAGCAGCTGACTGGCGGTTTAGGGTGCAGGATTTGCGAGTTGAAGGGTTTAGGGTTTTAGGGTTTAGGGTTTTAGGGTTTAGGGTTTAGGGTTTAGGGTTTAGGGTTTAGGCAGGGTTTGCTGGTTCAGGATTTAGGGGCTTGGGGGGTTGGGGAGTGTTGTGGAGAGCGGAAGGAGAAGGGGCCCCAATGGCCTCGGCTATCTGCTTGGCTTTGGGGTTCCGGGTTAACCCTAAACCCTAAACCCGAAACCCTACAACCTACACCCTACACCCTACACCCTACACCCTACACCCTACACCCTAACCCTAAACCCTAAACCCTAAACCCTAAACCCTAAACCCTAAACCTCGGGTTGGAACCCAAGTCGAACCTGGTTTAGGGTTCAGGGGTTTAGGGTTTAAGGCTTAGGGTCAACTTCGTCGACTACCTCATCTTTGCAACCGGGCCTTTTACAGGGACGTGGCCCTCAACACGTCAAGCCAAAACGGGGAGGAACACCCGAAAAAAAATCTGAACTAAGGGGAGGGTTATGTTTTTCGATTTTCTCTTTCTGGTTGAAGGTTTCGGGGTGGTGGGCGGGTTGAGACTTTTGTGGCGGCCACGGGCGTGGGACTGAGCCCGGAAAGGAAAGAACAGAAACCAGAAATCTACAGAGACGAGGAAAGGAGATGCTTCTTTTCAACGCCTTTCCCATCGAAGGCGTGCTGTCGGGAGGTACTTCTCGGGTCGTTTGCGGGCAGAGGCGGGGCAAAAGGACCACAAGAAGAAGGGGGAGAGGAGGACCCCAAAAAATCAGAAACAAGGGGAGGAGGTCATTTTCAAAATTTTACGGTCGAAGGCTTGCTGCTGCGGGGTCCTTGCGGGCAAAGGCGCGGCAAAGAATCCCCAGAACAAGAACCCAAACAAATTGCGAAATGAGGAGGTCTTTTTTCAAAAAGAATCCTGCTGTTGAAGCCGCGCTGCTGTCAGGTGTTCGGGACCCTTGCGGACAAAGGCGTGGCAAAGAATCCCAAGGAAAAAAGAGAGGATGACACAAAAACAAGTCAGAACCAAGGGGAGAGGTCATCTTTTCATTTTTTCGGTTGAAGCTTTGCGGTTCCGAGGTTTGTGGACCCCTGTGCAGGCAAACGCGTGGCAGAGAATCCCAAGGAAAAGAGAGAGGATGACCAGCAACAATCAGGAAACAAGGGGTGGAGGTCATGTTTAAACATTTTTCGGCTGAAGCTTTGCTGTTCGAGGTACGCGGGCCCTGTGCGGGCAAACGCGTGGCGAAGAATCCCAAGTGAAAGGGAGAGAGAGAGAGAGAGGATGACCCAAATAAAAACTGACAAACAAGGGGAGGAGGTCACGCCTGTCTTGTGGCAACTCGCAAAGGCGGCAAACGCTGCAAGTGCGCCCGCCGCGCGGTTCCAAGGGGGCAGGAGGAGGACGATGGGCCTGGCCGGACGATCGAAGAGGCCCATTCCACGTGCTAGACCTGCTGCTCGTGCAGTCCGTGCCCCTACGGTAAACATCCTCGAGCTGTGTTCCTTTCCTCTGCTCGCCATTGCCAGGGCCCAGGGTTGCCACCTGATCCGCGAGGCTGAATTAAAGAAGTCGAATGGTGAGCTTTTGCTTCCTGGTCAAAACTTGGCCGAGACGCGCGCTCGCCTGGCCGAGCTGATTAGAGAGCGCCGACGCCTTTTGACACAGTACCGCGTGTGGCGGTCGAAGGGCGGAGGCGCCGAATTCGTGCCACCCAATTCGTGCCGCGTCACCGCCTGCGCAAATTTGCACGGAAGACCGAGGCGGAGCGGAATGTCATCTGGTTATGGCAAAGGTCGTGCGCGGCGCGGTCCGCCGTGCCCATGTGCGTGTGCCGAAGCTGCCGCGTGCTCGGGAGGGACAAAATGTCCCTTGTACAGAAGCGCGGCGAAGGCAGCGAGGCTAGCCAGGTGTCGCTTCGCGCCTTGCAACGCCCTGTTGAAGGGTTTTTCCGGATGGTAACATTCCTCCCGATTTTCCTTTGCTGGAATTCGGCCATCGCAATTTCCGCAAGGCTTGCACGCGGCCGGGGTGCTTAGGAGGGCCCGGCTGCAAGGGAGGGCGGCTGTGCAGGCGCCGACTGGATGATGCCATCGGTGCTGCCGACCCGTCCCTGCAGGAAGAGGATTTTGTGGGCCCGGTAGATCTACCTAAGCCTTTACGCGCGCCGGACCCGGGGGCAGGGACTCCAAACAGTGACTCCGAGGAGGACCGCCCTATGCCTGCGGTTTGCAGGGCCAAGACTCCAGACGATTTGAGTCTGCGCTTTGACGGAGCTGTGCTCGATCATGCGCTTCGGGAGCCTTCGCCTGGCGCAGAAGGAAGCGGGGGTCAGGCATGAGGATCCCTTAGCAGTGTAGGTTTAAGACACTTGCCCGCCCGATGACATGGAACCAACTGCCTCAGAGGGGAGGCCACAGATGGATGCATCTTGCACGAACCCTAAACCCTAAACCCTAAACCCTAAACCCTAAACCCGAAACCCTAAACCGTAAACCCTGAACCCTAAACCCTAAACCCTAAACCCTAAACCCTAAACCCTAAACCTCTCTTTCATATATAATTTAAATGTTAATGAGTTACTGGGCAAGGTCATTTTTTTACTGGGCAAGGTCATTTTTTACTGGGCAAGGTCATTTTTTTACTGGGCAAGGTTGTTTTTTTCCACTGGGCAAGGTCGCTCGGTCCAAAAAAAACGACCTTGCCCAGTAAAAACCTTGCCCAGTAAAATAATGACCTTGCCCAGTAAAAATGTTACTGGGCAAGGTCATCTTTTTACTGATTTTTTTCTGGGCAAGATCATTTTTTTACTGGGCAAGGTCATTTTTTTTTACTGGGCAAGGTGATTTTTTTTACTGGTTTACTGGGCAAGGTCATTTTTTTACTGGGCAAGGTCGTCCATAAGTGAAATATTTTCTTAATGTTGTGGGATTCTTTGGGCGGGTGGGTATTTTTCTGAAGGAATTTCTTGACTAGTGAATGCTTGGACTTGAGATGCTGAACCCTAAACCCTACACCCTAAACCCTAAGCCCTAAGCGCTCCAGACCACTGCCGAGGCAAGTCTTGCCTTTCATCTCAAGGTCTGCAACGTCACAAGACGGTGAAACACTTGCGGAAGAGAAGTCATCACCTTAGATACTTTTTTGCACGCGCCAAAGATGTGTGTGAAGTTGCACGCTAACTCAACCAAATCAGGAACAAGTGTCGCGCAACGGAGTGCTCGTCGCAGCCGGAAGCTGGACCGCCCTTGAGCAGCATCGAGGAGTTGCCTGACATTGAGCGCGAACCCAAGCTTAAGTGAAATATAATTGAGGTGGACGTGGAAACAGTCGCGACCTTAGATAGTTTATGTCTTGGCTACAAAAAAGTTATAAGGCATCGCACTGCATTAAAAATTACCTCAGGAGAAACTACCGCTCGACTGAGTGCTGGTCACAGCTGGAAGCTGGATTCCTTTTGAGCGGCATCGACAAGTTGCTTTACATTGAGCGCGAACCCAAGTTAAAGTGAAATGTTTTTAATCCGCACATGGAGTCCAGCACGCAGGGACAGTCCTACTGCAGGCAAACCGCTGCTGTTGCGTCAGCGCCCTGAGAGTAGCTGCCATACATGAGTGACGAGTCAGTCGAGCACCGCCACATACCAAGCTGTTCTGTCTCAGCAACAGGTTTGAGAACATGCCGCTGATCCAGGCCGACTTGACGCCCTGGAATAATACGCCAATGAACACATGTGACTTGTCTCAAGCAAGCGAAGTAATGCATGCTTCTTCCCGTACAGCATTACGTCATGTCAGGGGTGTCGACTGGCTTCTGCAAGAAGCAGTTGTTCGAGGGCAGCATCTGGGATGACATTTGCCTCTCGTCATGTAACTAAATTAAATAAATCAGATACTTTCGCAAAAGGGTTTTCTCTGAGTAAGGCGACGACATTGCCAAGAACATGTTTATCAGAATGCTACGCAGCAGCCGGAAGAATGTGTCGCAGGACATACATAAAGCACGTCATTTCTTAAACAGCTCATTATCTTGAAAGGAATCCGTTGTCTGGCAGTCGATCTCGAGACCTGCCTGGCACAGAGGCTTCGGTCGGCGAGGCGCACGCGTGATCCATTATCATCAGTGTTACCGCACTCAAGTCAGAACATCGTTGCTGCCATGCTTCCTAGGTCGAAATTTTCGGACGATCTGCCGCAAGCAAAACAAGAAGAAGCAGTCAGACTCCACCAGTGTCTTGAAGACATTGTTTGCTCAAAGATATAGCGCAGCTGGTACCAGTGTGTTTCCTTCTAGTCAAGACTGTGCCAGAACAAGATTCATCGTTAAAAACATATGCATTGATGTTAAGATGTAATACGCTGAGGTCATCGTGACATGCTGCAGATCTTCCAGGGTAACGGCGTCCACCTGAACTACAGTCGCCACGGTCCTTGCCCTAAACCCTAAACCTAAACCCTAAACCCTAAACCCTAAACCCTAGACCCTAAACCCTAGTTAAACCCTAAGGCAGGGTCAGCGGATTTCTGAGTTGCCTGAGCAAGCCCGAAGCTTCCAAACCTTGAGCCCTCTGGTTTTTGAAGCCCTAGACCCTTTATGAACCCTTAATAGCCCGTTAAATTCTTAAAGCCCTTTAACCCTCAACACCCTTCAAGCCCTTCAAACCCTTTGCGTAAACCCTTTCAACCCTTTAAACCCTTTGAAACCCTTTGAAGCCCTTTGAAACCCTTGAAACCCTTTAAGCCCTTTAAGCCCTTCAAGCCCCTTGAAACCCTTATATCCCTGAACCCTACACGGTGTTTCTGCCGGGCAGGACGTGCCGGAGCGGACCCCGTCCTTTCTAAGACGGCCAGGCGTGCCCGAAACCCTGAAAGCCCTCAACTTGAACATGTACCCCAACGGGCCCACGCCTCAACCTGAAGGTCGAAGCCCTAAGCCTTAAACCCTACACCTTGCACCCTAAACCCCAAACCCTAAACCATGTCCTCAGGTCCGAACCCCGGCAGCCCGAAGATTCGAAACGCTGAAGCCCTTAAACCCAGAAGACCCAGATTCCCCCCCAACCCCCCCCCCCAACCTACGCCTTCAAGGATGTAGCGCTTCGGGTTTAAAGCCTAAACCCCTATCCCCTAAACCCTATATGCCCTAAAACCCTAAACCCTTAAACCCCTAAACACCTAACCCCTAAACCCCTAAACCCCTCAACCCTTAAACCCCCTGAACCCCCTAAACCCCCTAAACCCCTAAACCCCTAAACCCCTAAACCCCCTAAACCCCCTAAACCCCTAAACCCCTAAACCCTCAACCCCTAAGCCCCTAAACCCCCTAAACCTCCAAACCCCTAAACCCCAAAACCCCAAAACCCTGAACCCCTGAACCCCTAAAACCTCTAAACCGCCTAAGAGGCCTCACTAGTCTGGAGAAAGCCGCAGCCCTCTTCGCCCAAGCAGACGCTGGGGTCGACCAAGCGCGAAACCCCGAATTTGGGGTTTGGGGTTTAGGGTTCAGGGATTAGGGCTAGGCCCGGCTAGGCGTTTAAAGTTTGGGGTTTAGGGTTCTGGGTTTAGGGTTTTGGGGTTTAGGGTTTTGGGGTTGGGGGTTTACGGTGCCCGTGCACACTGAGCCCTCAACGATAAAAGCCCCCAAGCCCTAAAACCCGAAAACGGAACCTAGTACCCTGAGTACGTGGGAACTTTGTGTACTCTTTTCATTGTGGCTTTTGCACAATGAAAGTGTCAAAATTCTTAAAGAGTCCGCATGGCTTTTTTTTGAAGGCTGTAAAGGCTTTGAAGATCTCTGAAGGTTTTAAAGACTTTGCAGGTGTCATAAATTTGGAAAGGCCCTTGGGAAGCCCGGAAGCTCCGAAGCCGGTTCTAAATTCTTCTCAAGGTTTTTTAGACACAATTTCAGAGGCCCCAGGTGGGCCAGGGGATTTTCCATGGCTCCGGGTGGACTAGATGCTGAGGGCGCCTTGCCAAAGGAGTTTAGGGTTTAGGGTTTAGGGTTTAGGGTTTAGGGTTTAGGGTTCGGGGCTATTTAGTCAGCAACTTCTTGGGCGACTGCCCGCATTGTCACCCGGCCCTCAGCACATCTGAAATGGCCGTGAAGGTTTCGGGTCTACTAAAGAAATCAACAACGGTTTCCCCGCCTTGCCCCATGCAATTTTTAGAGAGTAGAGACGACTCCAGCAACCCCATGTTCAACAAATAGTCACGACATATTCCTAAACCCTAAACCCTAGACCCTAAACCCTAAACCCTAAACCCTAAACCCTAAACCCTAAACCCTAAACCCTAAACCCTAAACCCTAAACCCTAAACTCAGGACTACCTCCGCATCACGAAGGCCTGGGGCATACCGGGCCATGGTGGAGCCCTGGGACCCGCGCGCGAGGAGATGCACCGTCTGCTGAACAGAGGCCAACGGTTCCTGGGCTTGGGTTTAGGGTTTAGGGTTTAGGGTTTAGGGTTTAGGGTTTAGGGTTTAGGGTTTAGGGTTTAGGGTTTAGGGTTGAGGGTTTAGGGTTTAGGGTTGAGGGTTTAGGGTTTAGGGTTTAGGGTTTAGGGTTTAGGGTTTAGGGTTTAGGGTTTAGGGTTTAGGTCTTAGGGTTTAGGGTTTAGGGTTTAGGGCTTAAGGTTTAGGGTTTAGGGCTTATGATTTAGGTTTAGGGAGTCCCTACTGGGGGGAGGGGGGGCTGGAGAGTAACCCCTTTGCCGATAAGGTTTGGGTTCAGGTTTTTCTTTGCTTGGGAATCCCTGGGGGGTCGAAGATCCTTGGGGCGCTATAAACCTCAAGCTACCCCTAAGTTAAGTTCCCATGCCCTAAAAAACCTCAACCCTCAGCTTGAAGCCAACAGACTGTGTGGTCAAACCCAAGACCCTACATCCCAAACCCTGAACCCTAAAAGCATGCACCCTTACTTTAGGGGCTGGAGTCGTCGAAGAATCCGAGAAGCAACGCGTCCGCGCTCCGCCCGGGGCAACCCCCCCAAAGGTGGAAACCCTAAACCCGGAACCCTAAACCCCAAACCCTAAACCCCAAATCCTAAACCCCAAACCCCAAACCCCAAACCCCAAACCCCAAAGACTGAACTCAGGTTCCTACAGCAGGCCTACAAGCACGCCAAGGAGCGGAATTGGGAGGTTTGGAGGTTCATGGGCGCCCCAGGGTCTGCGTGCACCCTAAACATAGGTTGCCTTACTTAGAACCCTAAACGCTAAACCCTAAACCCGAATCCCTAATCCCTAAACCCTAGACCCTAAACCCTGGTTTCGGAGCTTAGGGGTTCTGATCCCTTACCCTTTGAAGCCCTAACTCTAAATCCAGACCCAGAGGCAAGCGCGCCTTCCTCCTGGACAGATCTGTATGGGCTGCTGATGATGGTCGCTCAGGTTGAGGTGGGTAAGTTTACGGGTTAGGGTTTAGGATTTAGTGTTCAGGATTTAGTGTTTCGGAGTTAAGGTTTAGGATTTTGGTTTTTGGTGGGTTTTTTGTTCTGGGTTGTTTCAGGATCGTTGGCTCTCGAGGCGTGAAGTGGCTTGAGCATGCTTAGAGACTCGGTAAGCCTTTGGGACATTAGATATTTTCCCTTATAGGTTGTGATGCTCCCCCCCTTATGCTAACAGTCCTCAACCGGGCTTCTAACAGGGGATGCGTGAATCCCTCTTAAGGGCTGTCAGTTTTTGGGGGAACATTCCCATTTATTGGGTTTAAGAGGATCACGGACGGTTTTAAGTTTTAAGGGCCATGCTAGGACATGGACCTCCCGGTTTTGCAAAGGCGGGCGGTGAGGTGTGGCCAGGAATCTCAAGATTGGCAGACACAGATTAGAAATCCCCCTAGAGAATCAATCCTCCCAACAAACTAGTGAGTTAAACCCTAAACCCTAAACCCTACTCCCTAATCCCTAATCCTAACTTGGAATTCCCCGGTGAAGAGGTGCCCCTCTTTGAGATTCTGGACCGCCTGGACCGCCAAGTGGTAGAGCCCATACACATGAAGGCATCTCGTCTTCCGACGGTTTAGGATTTAGGGTTTAGGGTTTAGTGTTTAGGGTTTAGGGTTTAGGGTTATCGTTTGTTGGGTTTGGGGTTTAGGATCTAGGGGTTTAGGGTGGTGCAGGGGGAGGGGGAGGGCGAGGGGGAGGGCATGGAAGAAATAGCTTTTAGAGAAGGTTTTGGGCGGCACAGACTCACAGACTGATGCAAGAAGCAGGAGTCAAGCGCGAAGCTTGGGCGTGTGATATCCTGGTGTCATGTTTCCCCTTTGCGGATGAAGATCACATGTCTAGTATACCTCGCCACCGCATCTCAGCTACGGTGCCATAATTCTGTCAATATACCTTTGTACATCATAAGGAGCCCCTCTCCTAAAACCGTACTGTAAGTTCCTAAGGTTTAGGGTTTAGGGTTTAGGGTTAGGGTTTTGTTTCAGGACTCCGTGACGCACCCGGACACTGCGTTCTTCGTCCACCTGCTGCCAACGCGGAATGTCGAGTCCAACCACGTGCGCTCAGTATTGGAGCTCCACTGCGACGCTTGGAGCCCTTGGCTTACCCTAAACCCTAAACCCTAAACCCTAAACCCTAAACCCTAAACCCTAAACCCTAAACCCTAAACCCTAAACCCTAAACCCTAAACCCTAAGCTTTTTGCTTCGGACTCAGGACATGGTCTTCAAGGGGATGGTGGGCAAACGACCTCTGAAAGTCGTGGAAGTCGGTACGCACCTGGGAGGCCCCGGGTCGCTGAGAGAGGGTTTAGGGTTTAGGGTTTAGGGTTTAGGGTTTAGGGTTTAGGGTTTAGGGTTGAAGGTTTAGGGGCACCTTATTGGGGTACTTATCATAAGGGAACCCTACTATTTGGAGGCCGGGGTGGTTCGCCCTTTCTTCTCCTGTCTGTGGTTTAGTGGGTTTAGGGTGAAGGGTTTTCGGGGTTTAGGGCTTTTTTTAGGGTTTTGGGGTTTTGGGGTTTTGGGGTTTTAGGGTTTTAGGGTTTTAGGGTTTTAGGGTTTTAGGGTTTTAGGGTTTTGGGGTTTTGGGGTTTTAAGATTTTAAGATTTTAGTGTTTTCGGATTTTAGGGCTGAGCCACACTTGCAAATTGATTTGGATCTCAAACATTTGGTTAAGGAGGCACCTCGGAGCCAGAAACGCGCGACGAAGATGATCTGGGGGTTGCCGAAACTAGGGGAGTTTGGGAGCTTGAGGGTTTAGGGTTTGGGGTTTAGGGTTTGGGGCGTAGACGCTGCCGCAAGAGAAGCCTAAACCGACCGTCGCAGTTCTGAAGTCGCATTGGGTCTAGGACCCGGAGCAGGCCATTATTTCGTTTTATTTCATGTTTTTAGGGTTGGGGTTGCCTTTTCATCTCCTTAAAACCAGAAAGGGTACCCTCTCTATTCCTAGGCTACTCCTGGGTCACCCTAAAACCTTCAACCCTAAACCCTAAACCCTAAACCCTAAACCCTAAACCCTAAACCCTAAACCCTAAACCCTAAACCCTAAACCCTAAACCCTAAACCCTAAACCCTAAACCCTAAACCCTAAACCCTAAACCCCGTGAGGCTGCATCCTCTATGCACTCACCCACTCGCGTGCGCAGTGCCGGGCTGAGCCGCCTCCAGAGTGTTCATACATGCACCAAAAATATGTTCGCCTTTTTTTGATATTGTCTACTATATTATTAATAATTAATAATATTATTAGTATTTTTAAGTGTTAATATGACTACTAGTACGAATATTGGGACTACCTTATCGGGGTCCTTCTTATAAGGGGATCCTACTACTTCTTGTAGATATAGTCACACACGCATGCGATTTGAGGCTCATTGTTCATGAGCAAGCTTAAGTATGTAAAATAAAGGGAGCATTTATGTGGGCATGTGCAAATTACGTAGATGTATATGTAAACGTATACATATGTGGAGATGTGCATCCGCTTTTCGTGTTAACATGTACACGCCTTCCGAACACTCAGACTTCCTCAATACACTCTACTTCACAGTGCAATTTCCGCGTTTTGAATTTGGCCTCAAATGAAAGACAGCTACTGGTGCAGACCACATCGATTCGCTTGGAGGTTTCTAATCATAACATGATATGTTCCAATTTAGCATCGCCGGCCAAAATTGTTGGGCAGCTTTAGCAAGTGTCATTTATACATAACCACATATATATATATATATATGTGTACATCTGTATTTTGTGGATGTAACTTATTATATCAGAGTTGCACCTGTGCATACACGCATGCGCATGTATACGGTTGACCTCAGAAAAGTAGGCCCCCTCCAATCATCGGATAATCAGAACAGTCCACCCCGGAAGACATGGCTATGAAGCTTTCCGTTCGGCGGAAGGCGGGGGCCGGAGGAGGGTTTTAAATGTCAGTGGGGTTTGCATTGAACTCAATCACGCGGGAAGGGAGTACATTCTGTGCCACCTAGATGTCGCACCATTCCGAGGTAGTGTTTCTGTACTTTTCTGGAGCAGATTTACTACTCGGAAATTAGCTTTAGCCGCAGCTTCCCTTGACAGCCTTCGTCCGGTCCGGACTCAGGTCTCGAGGCGTGGCGATCGACGCATATGGCCCAGCAACGCCGTTTGGCAGATCCATAGCGTGAGATTTGAGCTTCCGGGGGCGCTGGAACATGTTTATCAAAGTGTTGGGCCCAATCCGAAGCTTAGGGCAGGGCTTCCCAGGGCAGGGCTTCCCCAAAGGTTGCACGCGTGGATGGTGAACGTAGGACACGAAGAGCGTTTTCAGGTGGATCGGCTGGGAAGTGCTTTGTTGTTGTATCGCTACCACCAGACATGGGTGGTTTATTTCTGCCTCTTTGCAGTGTTCGATGTCCCATAGGGGAGGTTCCGCACGAACTTGCTTTGGGACCTCTTACGCGACATCACATGTTAGTGTAGCATATGTTGTTGCTCCCCCCCATGCTTTTCCTCTTATGTTTCCTGATGTAGGCATACCTGCAAGCGCGATCTGAGTCTGTTCACCATGTGTTCATTCTAGAGCCAACCAGACAAGTTCATTGGGGTTTGCACATTTTGTCCAGCGGTTCCTGCGACAGAAAGGCACTGTGCGCCTAGGAGCTCTTATTCCCAAGCCCTGAACCCTAAACCCTAAACCCTAAACCCTAAACCCTAAACCCTAAACCCTGAACCCTGAACCCTGAACCCTGAACCCAAGAAACCGGAAACCCTAAACCCCGGAACGTGAAGCCTTTGAAGCCGCAGGCTCAAACCCAAAACCGCTGCCTCGACCCTAAATCCTCCATAAGCCGAAGTGCCTGAAATCCTTAAACCCAAAAACCCCGAACGTCCTAAACCTCCAATCCCCTAAACCCCCAAACCCTAGCCCTAAACCCTGAACCCTGAACCCTAAACCCTGAACCCTGAACCCTGAACCCTAAGCCCTAAGCCCTAAACCCTACCCCCCCCCCCCCGTTCCTTCCTTTTGGCTGTCCGAGGGCAGCGCTTCGCCGCACAGCGGAAAGCAATGGCTTGGCAGCAGCTTGGAGCAGCAACTACTCTCTGCTTACGAACCCCCCCCGGTTTAGGGTTTAGGGTTTAACGGTTTAGGGTTTAGGGTTTTAGGGTTCTAACCTACACAGCATCTCCGCCCTATTCCAGCAAGCCCCAAACCCCAAACCCCAAACCCAGAACCCTAAACCCTAAACTCTCAACCCTAAACCCTAAACCCTGAACCCTGAACCCTAAACCCCTAAACCCCTAAACCCCTAAACCCCTAAACCCCTAAACCCCTAAACCCCTAAACCCTAAACCCTAAACTCTAAACCCTAAACCCTACACCCTAAACCCTAAACCCCCCTAAAACCCCCAAAACCCCTAAGGACCGGCTCACGGTCCTCCAGCACTTCATCTGCTCAGACAGCCGCGGCACAGCCGGATGGAGGGTTCTTGGGGTTGAGGGGTTTGGCTTCTAGGGTTTAGGGTTCTAGGGTTCTAGGGTTCTAGGGTTCTAGGGTTCTGGGGTTCTAGGGTTATCCAGGGTTCTAGGGTTCTAGGGTTCTAGGGTTCTAGGGTTCTAGGGTTCTAGGGTTATCTAGGGTTATCTAGGGTTCTAGGGTTATCTAGGGTTCTCGGGTTATCTAGGGTTCTCGGGTTCTAGGGTTCTAGGGTTCTAGGGTTCAGGGTTCAGGGTTTAGGGTTTAGGGTTTAGGGTTCAAGGGTTTTAAGGTTCTAGGGTTATCTAGGGTTCCCTTGGGTTCTAGGGTTCTGTGGTTTAGGGTTTGAACGCGAGGCCCCCGTCCGAAAGCCCTAAAACCTTGATTAAGCCCTAACCCAATGCCCCAAATCCTCCGGGCAGGGGCGGTTCTTGCATTCCCTCCCAGATCCTCCGCCCTGCGCCTCTGGTGTAGGGTTTAGGGTTTAGGGCATCTCCCTAAACCCTAAACCCGAAACCCTAAGCCCGAAGCCCTAAGCCCTAAGCCAAAAGCCCTAAGCCCTAAGCCCTAAGCCCTAAGGTCTACACCCTACCCACTAGCATCCTGTCCGATCCTGGTTGAGAGCAAAGGGCATGTGGCGTAGCCATGGCATCTATTCAGCTATCTGCCCGTCGGTTCGGTCTCATCGCCACGCCTTCCGCTGCCCATGTGACCCTGTGGACCCCTGAAGCTCTAAACCCTAAACCCTAAATCCTAAACTCAAAACCCTAAACCCTAACCCTCAATCCTAACCCTAAGCCCTAAAGCCTAAAGCCTAAAGCCTAAAGCCTAAAGCCGAAACCCTATACCCTAAACCCTAAACCCTAAACCCTAAACCCTAAACCCTAAACCCTAAACCCTAAACCCTAAACCCTAAACCCTAAACCCTAAACCCTAAACCCTAAACCCAAAAACCCTAAACCTCCCTGGTAAACATCAGGCAAGTTTGCGTCCGTCGTCGAGCCGACGGGATGGCTGAGCCAGCCTGGCTGGCACGAGCTCGCACAGGACTGCTTGTCTTGGTCGCCGAGTAGGTTTAGGGTTTAGGGCTTAGGGCTTAGGGTTTAGTTTAGGGTGTAGGGTTTAGGGTTAGGGGGTTGGGGCTTAGGTTTAGGGCCAGCCAGTTTTGCCCCTTTCTTGGTTTTAGGCTCCCTTTTTCAAGTCACCAACCCCCCAACAGGGTACCCTTACAATGCGGTTACTGGACTGCCAAGCTGCGGAATGATACTTAGGGTTTAGGGTTTAGGGTTTAGGGTTTAGGGTTTAGGGTTTAGGGTTTAGGGTTTGGGGTCTTTCCAAGCTGCAAGCTTGGGGTGATGTTTTTGGTACTTGGGCCGCTTCGCTGCTTCGAGATCCTGGGCCCTGCCAGCCGATTCTCAGTTCTCAACCCTAAACCCTAAACCCTAAACCCCAAACCCCAAACCCCAAACCCCAAACCCTAAACTCAGCATCCTTTGCTACGTGTGCCGCAAATGCAAACCTCTATTACCCAGAGTAGGCCCTTAATTCCCTTCTTTTCGGGCCTACTATCCCCCTGGGAAATTATTTGTTATTTTTGTTTGTATAAAACCCAAGAGGACCTTAAACAACAAATATTTTTATTAAGGTTCGAAGGGGGGGTATAGCGGAAGGTTCCCTTGCACGCCCAAACCAAAGCTTGCTGGTTCTGGGAAGGGAATGAGGGAATGGGGCACCCTATATCCCCCCATATATGCACCTGTTGAGGGATTCTGTAGGGTTCCTCATGCCCCCCATTCTCTACTAAACGTGAGGGGGAAGAGGGCGCCCTGTTTATTTCCTAGGTTACTCTTGGGTCTAGACCTGGTTTTCGCACATTCTCGAGAGCGTTTGGCTTCGGGTGTTTTGTGTGCGGGGCGCCAGGATCATGCACCCGAGGCCAAGTCTGAAGTGGTAGCTCCTTGACGCAGGGTTTAGGGTTTAGAGTTTAGGGTTTGGGGTTTAGGGTTTAAGTTTAGGGTTTGGGGTTCAGGGTTTAGGGTTTGGGGTTTAGGAGTTTAGGGTTTAGGAATTTAGGGTTTAGGGTTTAGGGCGATTCTCGGTTGAGGGTTTTAGGATCCTTGTGGTCTGTCTGGGGACTAGGGGTACCCCTCATAGACCCCAAAGACTAGAGCTCTTTTTTGAAAAGGAACCCCCCCAAAAAGGGTACCCCCCTACTTTGGGTAAGCCCCCACATTCATAAAGGAACCCCAAAAAGGGTACCCCCCCCCTAGACCGGTCGGTTCAGCTTGCTGGCAACTTGTGCTGTAGAGTTTTTCTCACTAAACAACGTGAAGTCACACACAGCACCCTATAGACAAGAGCCATCATGACACCCCCAGCCCCCCCAACCTTCAACCTCCGTCATGGCCACACGCACAGACGCACAGACACACACTGCACCCTCCAGAGCCGCAAGGCTTCACGCACCAAATCCTGCACCCTGCAACCCCTGGACCCCCCCCCCCCAGGCTGGGCCCTTCTTCCCGCTTTTTGTTGGGGTTACATTTCCCTTATAAGCCCCCTTTAAACCGAAAAGGGCACCCTTTTGATTCCCAGGTTACTCCTGGGTCTGGAACCCCTAGACCCTAAACCATAAACCCTAAACCCTAAACCCAAACCCCTAAACCCTAAACCCTAAACCCTAAACCCTAAACCCTAAACCCTAAACCCTAAACCCTAAACCCTAAACCCTAAACCCTAAACCCTAAACCCTAAACCCTAAACCCTAAACCTAACCCTAAACCCTAAACCCTAAACCCTAAACCCTAAACCCTAAACCCTAAACCCTAAACCCTAAACCCTAAACCCTAAACCCTAAACCCTAAACCCTAAACCCTAAACCCTAAACCCTAAACCCTAAACCCTAAACCCTACACCCTAAACCCTAAACCCTAAACCCCAACTAGGTTACTCATGGGTCGAGACCCTCAGCTCTTAACCTTGGTAGCCCAGTGGTACCATTTTTTTGGGTAGCGAGTTCCCTTATAAAGTAACCCTGAAACACCTTAAAACCCTAAAAGCCCTAAAAACCCTAAAAACCCGTTTAAAAGGATAAATAAGCTAAAACCCTTAAAGCCCCCCAAAAGGGTGCGCTTGTTAGAATATGGATACTGGGCTACTAAGAAACCTAGGCGAGCCCTAAACCCTAAACCCTAAACCCTAAACCCTAAACCCCAAACCGTAAACCCGAAACCCTAAACCCTAAACCCTAAACCCTAAACCCTAAACCCTAAACCCTAAACCCTAAACCCTAAACCACACTGGGCTACTAAGAAACCTAGGCATGCACAAGCTTGGAGTCCGTCCTGCGGGAGCAGGGCATGGAGGAGGCGAGCTGCCGTCAGGAGGGTCTAGGGTTTAGGGTTTAGGGGTTTGGGGTTTAGGGTTTAGGGTTTGGGGTTTAGGGTTTAGGGTTTAGGGTTTGGGGTTTAGGGTTTAGGGTTTCGGGTTTGGGGTTTAGGGTTTAGGGTTTAGGGTTTGGGGTTTAGGGTTTAGGGTTTAGGGTTTAGGGTGTAGGGTTTAGGGTTTAGGGTGTAGCGTGTAGGGTTTAGGGTTTAGGGTTTAGGGTTTGGTTTAGGGTGTAGGGTTTAGGGTTGAGGGTTTCGGGTTGATGGGCGGCTTCAGCATCTTGCGACCAATGCCCGAGCCCCTGAATCCAGCTTTGGGGGATCTGAGCAGGGTTTAGGGTTTAGGGTTTCGCGGTGTGCTACCCTTAGCTCTAGACCCTACGCCTTGCACCTTTAACTGAACCCCCCAAACCTCAATCTTAAACCCTGAACATTGCTTGAACGCGGTTTACCAAAATACGGGTCCCCTCATATATACCCCCAGCATAGTCTTCCCTTATAAGAAAAGGACCCCAATATGGCACCCTCAACTTCGGAAACCCCTAAACCCTAAGCGCTAGCCCTAAACCCTAAGCCCTAAGCCCTAAGCCCTAAACCCTAAACCCTAAACCCAAAACTTTCAGGTGGACCTCCTCCGCGTGAGCGTCCTAGGCCGGGAGTACACCGCCCTGCGCTCGGCGGAAGGCCTTCTCGCAGCCGGGAAGGCGTGGCGTTGTAGGGGTTTTTAAGGGTTTTAAGGGCTTTTAGGGGTTTTTTACTCATTTTTTTATAAAAGGGGCTTTAGGGTTTTTGAAGGGTTTTTGGGGTTTTTAAGTGTTTTTAGGGTTTTCAAGGGTTTTTCGGGTTTAATCCCTTCCCCCCTTTTTTTAAACGTACCCCTAACCAGAAGTAAAAACACTTTCCGGAAAATCCTGTCGAAACCGACCCCGCCGTTTAAACCCTATTCCGAATTGCGGGGGGTTCAGGGCCCCCAAAACCTTCAAGCCAATCTAAACCCTATGGGTTAGAGTTTAGGGTTTAGCCGGGTTTAGGGTTCAGGGGTTTTCGAAATCGGGGGGGGGGGGGTACCTTATTGGGGTCCTTATTGCAAGGGGATCCTCCTACTACTATTTGGGGTTGATTGTAACTGTAGGGGTCCCTATTTTCGTAAACCACCATTTTTACAAGGCAACAATGTGCTTTTTGATGCAAGGTGAGTTTGACGAATTTTCAAAACTCTTCACCTCTTAAAGTGCACTTCGGACACGTGGGTCGCTTCGGGTCACTTGGGACACTTGGAGCGTTTGGAGGTCTGGCAACGCTTGGGTTACTTGGATCACATGGGTCACTTGTGACACCTGGGACGCACAAAAAAATTGGAATTTGGTGGCTTAGACCCTGAAACATACAAACCCCATATAAACCTCATGCAAAGCCACGAAACCCCATATAAACCCTAATAAAACCCAATATAAGAACCCCATATAAACCTCATGTCCAATGAGGGCTCCATATAAGCCCCGTACAAACCTCCAATAAAGCCCTAATGACCCCATATAAAACCCTAATAAAGCCCCATATGAAACCCCATATAAAACCCATATAAACCCCATAAAAACCCCATATAAAACCCGTATAGACCCCATATAAAAACCCTAATAAAACCCCAAATACAGCCCCACGTAAACCTCTCAGGGTTTTCGCTCCGGGAGGTGAAATCAATTGCAGCCTCCGTGCTCAAAAACACGGAGAATGTGTTGGAGATGGCCCCTCAGCGCGTTTGCTGTGGTTCAGGGTTTAGGGTTTAGGGCTTAGGGCTTAGGGCTTAGGGCTTAGGGTTTAGGGTTTAGGGTTTAGGGTTTAGGGTTTAGGGTTTAGGGTTGAAGCTTTCGAGTTTAGGGGTTTAGGGGTTTGTGCTTTGCGAGCAGCAGTTGCCGTGCCAGGACGACAGGGCTCCAGTGCGCACGCACGCAATGCCGGGTTTCTGGGGACAAAGGGCATTCCAGAACACCCTGTAACGCTAAACCCGAAACCCTAAACCCCCTGTAACCCTAAACCCTAAAGCCTACATCCCCTGGAACCCTAGCCTCTCAAAGCCTCAAACCTGAACCTCACACCCCTATCCTTAAACGACCGCAGCCTCCCATATGGGTAGTTGTCAAAATTATGGTCCCTTTTTGGATGAAGGGTTTAGGGTTTAGGGTTTAGGGATCCCTATTGGAATACGGCACCTAGTACAGAGGGTATCATCATTTTGCCAGCCACCCACATAAAAAGACGCCTGCTGTTCTGTTGCTGCGCGAGGGGAAGATGCTGCACCGCTGCTCGCCTCAACTTTGCCTCAATCCTGGGACCCAGAGTAGGTCTTCCTTGCCCTTTTTTTGGGGGGGGGGGGGTTAAGGTTCCCTTAAAAGCCCCTTTAAACTAAAAAGGGTACCCTCTTTTTTTGCCTGGCTTACTCTTGCGTCCAGAATCCCAAGCCCCCAAAACGAAGCCAGTCGGGGGCGTAGGGTTGGGCAGCGGCTTTCGGGGATATTCGGGTCACGAGCTGTTTCGGGTTTAAGGGATCAGGGTTTAGGGTTTAAGGTTTTAACCTTATACCCTACACACTAAACACTAAACCCCAGACCCGAAACCCCAAACGCAGAGAGACGTAGCGTTGCCGAGGCGCGAGGCCTTCAGGCATTGGTGGTGTCGATGTAAGTTTCAATGTAAGACTCGGGACTTGAAGCACTCCCTCTTCATGGCGCTTTTGACAAGCAATCTGTGTCTTTCAACAAGCCGGGTATCTGTCGTCCTTCGAACTGCTCTTGAGGCCATGGCTACAAATTAAGCTTCATCGGCTATGAAGATGAAGATGTGCTGCGTATCCTGGCGGATGTGGATCTGATCCCGGCAGGCCGGAGTATGCGGATGCTTTTGGCTGTAGCTGAGTTGAGGGTCAGCACCTCAATCCCGGACGAACAGTGGAGTTGGGCCACAACTGCCTTGTTTGACTGATAGGGTTTTAGGGTTTTAGGGTTTTAGGGTTTTAGGGTTTTAGGGTTTTTAGGTCTTGAGTGTCTGTTTGCCTGCTGTCAGATGGATGCGCAGGTACCTTGACGCTGGTCGCCCAATATGCTGGGTGACCCTGCCAGGTATGCGTGCAAGGAAAAGCTGGACACTAATTTAACCAAGTCAAGCTCCTCTGGGGGTGTCCCTTTAGGGTTTAGGGTTTAGGGTTTAGGGTCCACCCTAAGCCCTAGGCCCTAGACCGCCCAAACCCCAAACCCGAAAGTGGGGGTTTTGTTTCGTATCCTACGACAAAGAGATCAGGTATTCAACGCCCCTGACAATTCAAGATAGAATAGATAGTGCTTCCATGCTTGTTCGGTTTAGGGTTAAGGGTTTGGGGTTGAGGGGTTAGGGTTTAGGGTGTCTCATAGTGCGGCGGCGCGACCCACCCATGAAGTGGTCGTGGGTCACACCGGCACCGTACCGTTCCTCTTACTTGTACCACTTCCACGACCACTAGCACCATCACCACTACCACCACCACCGCCACCGCCACCACCACCACCACCACCACCACCACCACCACCACCACCACCACCACCACCAGACGACGATAACGACGACGTTTACCACAACCACAACTGCGACCACTTCCACAACCACGACCACGACCACGACCACCACCACCACTACCACCGCCGCCACCGCCGCCGCCGCCACTGCCGCCGGCCACCGCCACCGCCGCCGCCGCCACCGCCACCACCGCCGCCGCCGCCACTACCACGACGACAGCGGCGGCGACGACAATGACAATGACGACGATGACGACGATGATGACGACGATGACGACTGCGACGACTGCCACCGTTCCTATGTCTCTTATAACTCTCCGATCTCCCGCAGTCCGCTCTAGGACTCACGGGTCCAGCTGAGGGCTTAGGGTTTTAGGGCTTTTGAAGGCTCTAGAAGGCTTTCCGCGTTTTAGGGCCCCAGGATTTTTTTGGGGGCTTTGCAGGTTTGAAGGCACTTTGGAGCTGTAGGGGTTTTGGGTTTCTTCGGGGGGGTTGGGGCTTTGGGACTTTGGGACTTTGGGGGTCTTGAGGGTTTTTAGGGTAAACCCTAAACCCTAAACCCTAAACCCTAAACCCTAAACCCTAAACCCTAAACCCTAAACCCTAAACCCTAAACCCTAAACCCTAAACCCTAAACCCTAAACCCTAAACCCTAAACTAGGCTTTTGCCGCTGCTACGGCTTGCATGGCTGATGAGGGTGGGCCTTCAGGCTTTTTGGTTACCGCACAAGCAGTCAGGCTGCAGACACGTCCACCATAAACTCTAAGCCCTAATGAAAAGAAGGGTTTAGGGTTTAGGGTGTAGGGGTTAGGGTTTAGGGGAATAACTACTAATAGTGTTCCCTTGGGGTCCCTTTATCATTATACCAAAATAACCCCCAAAACCCTACTCTAATCCTTAAAAAGGCCCTCTGTGTTAGATCCTATCGGGCATCCATGGTGGATCCGGCTTGGCTGGCCTCAGAGCCCGGAAAGTGGCCCAGGCATCTGACCCCGCCGGCCGTTTCTGGATGGGTTGAGGGTTCGGTCAAGGGTCTGATGCCTCCTAAAGAATGTAAAACATGAATGGGTGCACCTACATATACATCTACAATCTACACACATGTACGCACGCACACATGTAGACAGACATGGAGAGAGTCAGTCCTCAACTGACGGTCCGTTGTCGGGTTCTCGCAGTTCCTTGGCCCCTGAAGCGATGATGTCAAGTCGAAAGACTGCTGCAACCCATGCTCTGTTCCTAAACCCTGTGCACCCAAACCCAAAAACCGGCAGTTCTGGTTGAGGCTGCCGGCATGGAAGTAAAGGTTTTGGTTTTTAGGGGTTGAGGTGACAGACCACTTGTTTTTACAATGCACATATGTATTTGTGCATGCAGACATATACACGTACTCATTTCCCCGAGCTGCGCGCGGGGCCACTGCTGTGGCAGGCTAAGGGGTGCCGTGGCGAGATTTGGCCGCGCGCGACTTCTGGCGCGCCAGAGGCAGACCAACCCACACCTGCCCTGCTGGGCCGTGCACTTCACGTGCGCCCCTGCTTGCTGTGCAATGCTTGCTGATTGCGGGCCTCGCGCTATCTAAGTGTGCTACTTGCTTGCACGCTCTTCGCTCCTTGGGTGCCCTGCTGGGCCTCGCACTTTCGGAGCGCGCGCGCGCGCGCCACTTGCTTGCATGCTCTTCGCTCCTCGGGTGCTTAAGCTGGGAATCATATTAATTCATACCTTCTGAGCGCCCTGCTGGGCTGATAAGTGCACGCGTGCTGCTTGCTTGCACGCTGTTTGCTCCCTGGCCTCGCGCTTCATTTATGCTTGCGCAGTGCTCGCTTGCGCGCTGTTCGCTCCTTGGGTGTCGCGCTGTGCCTCGTGTAAGTGCGGAGCATAGCTGCTCGATGCTTGCTCCTTGGCTGCCCTGTTGGGCCTCGCGCTAAGGTTTTAGCTTGCTGCGGGGATGCTTGCTCCTTGAATGCCGTACTGGATCTCCAAAAGCGCACGCTGGTTGCGCGTTGTTTGTTCCTTGGGTGCCCTGCTGTGTCTCTTGGGTGCCCTGCTGTGCCTCGTGTTGCAGCTGGCGCCGCTCATAGTTGCGCGATGCACGTTAGCAGTGCGGCGGGGGGATGTTGCCATGCGATCATCCAGGATTCTGCGTCCCTTATGGGGTGCTGATGCCAGCTGCACGCTCCTGACGAATCATACGGAGTCTCCTCATCACGCTGGCGCCGTCACACTCCTTTCCTCCTCCGACTGTGCGATTCCTTCCCTCATCCTTCTCGTTCTCCCGACGCTTGCCAGCTTGAACTCTAAGTGGAGGGGACAATGACGGTCACGGAGTCGCTTCCCTCGAGTTGCCACTTACTCACTCACTCACTCACTCACTCACTCACTCACACGTATTCATTTATACATATGCAAATGTATACGTGCAAAATTACGCATAGCGTTACATAGTCGCGAAGGACAGTTGCTTATGATCATACAGAATCAGATGCTTCTTTCCCCGCAAGTCTTCGCCTAGCTCTCAAGCCGCTGTGCCACGGCAGCGTGCCTTTTACTGCAGACCTCATGCGATTCTTGCGTAGCCGTCGGGACAAAGAGGGCAGCTGGCTGCAACTGGTGGAGGGGAGCTGGTCAGACCGACATGGCTCCTGCTACGAGGTGGGCAAGAGGGGCGACAAAACCCGAAGTTCCTGAACCTTCGGCCCTTTCGGCCCCATGCAGATGGCCCTGAAAACCTACTTGGTCTTGCTGGGCTCGAACCCGACACCCGAAACCCGAAACCCTAAACCCTAAACCCTAAACCCTAAACCCTAAACCCATGTCACCTCGAGGTCAGTCGCGATGCTGGATACCATGGTTCGTACTCCTGCAGCGTGCGAATCCGACGGCCTAGTGGCGAAGCATTCTCAAGACCAGCTGTCATAAAGCAGGTGGACGATGGAACCATAATCTGGGGCCGGTACCTTACTTGCTGGAACTGTGCAAGTTCTGGTTGCTTTTGAAGGGTCAAGAACCTGCCGGCCGGTCACCGAGTACTTTCGAAGCTGTAGGCAAGAAGCCTTGCAGCCCTTGAGGCAGTACATGTTCGACAAAGGGCCAGCTGAGGGTCTTTAACTTCCATGAAACCCTAAACCCTAAACCCTAAACAAGGTCAAAAGTACGTCTTGGATGAGACAAGCTCAAACCACGACTCCTTGAGCTGGCTCCCGCGATGCACTAGCAAGGTTTGATGAAATCTCCTTCCATCTTGTCATGGGTTTAGGGTTTGGGGGTTGGGGTTCACGGTTAGGGCTGGGGCTATGTAACTTGAACAGATAAGTCTTACACTTTCAGCTCTAAGGTCTGTGTTTCAAACTCCTCAAGCCCTAAACCCCAGGAAGAACCTGCGAGGGTATTCCGGCTTCTCCTGGCAGCGAATGAAGTCACAAGCTGCAGCGCACAAAAGCGCTGATGTTCATGGCGGAGAAGGCCCCCGTATTTCAGGGTCTCCCCAAAAAAATTGCGGTACCCCTTTTCGTAGGTTGATTGCATTTCGGGTAAACCCTAAACCCTAAACCCTTAACCCTAGACCCTAAACCCTAAACCCTAAACCCGAAACCCGAAACCCTAAACCCTAAACCCTGTTTTCCAGACTGCCGCGTTCATCCTGCACCACCTCCTCCGCCGCCACCAGAAAAGACGTCGCAGGAGGGTACTGGGGGGCTTTTTGGGGTTGATTAGGTTTTTTTTTGAGGGGTTATAGGCTTTACAGGAGGTAGTGGGGGTTTTTGGGGGTTCATTAGGTTTTTTTGTTTAAGGGGTTGTGGGCTTTAGGGTTCAGGGTTTAGGCTTTAGGGGTTCATAGGGTTTTTGGGGGATATAGTCCGGGAAAAAATAAAAGATTGGGGAAACTTGTAAAGGCAAAAAGGCAAAGGCACATGTAATCTCACAATATGAAGGGCCAAAAGGCCCGAGTGGGGTTCTTTTGGGGTAGTTCCAGAAGCTAGAATCCTGCAGTATTATTTCCTGGGAGTTGGTTCAAAGACTGGGGAAATGCTACAGACGGCCCAGTGCTCCGCTTTAACTCCTGGAAATCTACCATGATCAATACTGGCTTTTGAAATCCCAGGCGAAGGAAAGGTGAAGAGAGTGAGCACAGTTCATCTACAAGCGAAATCACACAGTAAGCGCGTGAACTTAGCTTGCAAGTGAACGAAACGAGTGAGTTGACCTGGAGCTGCTTTCAGAATCCTTTTGTAGGGGCTGTTGGGATTCAAAAACCAGTTGTCCCTGGTGGACCACCACTCAAGGGTTTGCCGATGACTGGCGATTAAGATTGTGGATTAGCCTTATCTTCGTCCTTGTCTCACGCAAATGCCGATGAGTTTAAACTATAAGCCTGTGTACGCCCTTAATATTATACAGGATCTTCATTCTATTTCTCTCGTTTTGATTGTCGGAGTGAAGATATGACTGACGCAGGAAACCCATTGAACAACAAGCAAAACTTGCAAAGGACTCAAGACCACAGAAACAAGAGTGAAAGGCTCACTCATCTATTCATTAGACTTTCAGTAGTTTGTTTTGTTTCTCCAAACGCCGCGATTTTTTGGGGCTGCTGGGTTTCGGGTTCGGGCTTAGGGTTTAGGGTTTAGGGTTTAGGGTTTAGGGTTTAGGGTTTAGGGTTTAGAAGTTGAGAGAGAAGAGCCTGTTGAGGGGTCGGGATGGTTAACGGGCTCCCATGGGATTCGGTGCGGCCCCAATGTTGAAGGGTAGTTACATGGGCCTTCTCCCCGGTCTGCCCAATGCAGCTCCCGGGAGGGGGCCGACGTGGGGAGGGAGGTGGGGGGGGGGGGCTGAAGAGGTGCCAAAAAGGGTTCGAGCTGGTTGGGGAGGGGATTGAGGTCAGGAAGCCCGAAACCCTCAACTCTGACCTCAAACGCCACGCCGCGGCTGTCAGTCACATAACTCACGAAGTGCAAGCTGGGCTGTAAGGATAAACTGTGTGGCGGGCGAGGGGGGGGGAGGGCGGGATTGGGCTCACTGGTCTCGAGTGGCATATTTAGCCGACTTCATCTCGAGACACCGGGGGTCTCTTTCTCTCTCTGTCTCTCTCTTCTCTCTTTTCTCGCTCTCTCTCTCTCTCTCTTTTTTCTCGCTCTCTCTCTCTCTCTTCTCTCTTTTCTCGCTCTCTCTCTCTCTCTCTCTGTCTTTCTCTTTTCTTTCTCTCATTATTTTCTTTATTTCTTTATTCTCTTTATTTCTTATTCTTTATTTTTTTCTTTATCTTATTCTTTCTTTCTTTCTTTCTTTCTTTCTTTCTTTATTTCTTCTTTCTTTTTTCTCTCTCTCTCTCTCTCTTTTTTCTCTCTCTCTCGCTCTCTCTCTCTCTCTCTCCTCTCTCTCTCTCTCGCCGCTCTTACGTAGGGGTGGGGGAAATTGGGTCAGATGTCTATACCGGGACCGCAACTGCCCCCGGTCCCGTCAAACCGTCCGCTTTCAGATCCCAGTCGCCTACGGGGGGGGGGGGGGGGGACCGTTCTGGCACAAAAGGGGGCCGCAGTCGGGCTAATTGGGCTTGCGGGGAGGATTGGAGGGGGGTGCTGTTCTGACGCCGAGGCCTCGGCGGATATGGTCCCTAACCTCTCTAACGGTGTAACGGTACAGAAGGGGGATAAGGGGTGCCCCTTGAGGGTCATAATAAGGACATGTCACTACCCCAAGACTAAGACCAATGGAGGCACTGAATCCAAGTGCATAACATCCGGAAACCGTACACCTTGGGATGTTCCCCTTCTTCTCGCAGTCGAATAGGGATGATAAACCTAAGCCCTAAACCCTAAAACCTAAAACCCTAAACCTAAACCGAAACCCGAAAAACCGAAACCCTAAGGGTACTCGAATCCCTCGCAAGGGCTGTTAGTACAGGGGGGGGGGACGTCCCAACCTACACCCAAACGGTTTAGGGTTTAGGGTTTAGGGTTTAGGGTTTAGGTTAGGGTTGGTTAGGGTTTAGGGTTTTAGGGTTGGGTAAACCCGAAAGCTTGCGCCAACTCTCCCCCAGGATAGGGGCACAAGGGCCCACACCCCAAACTGGCTGGACCCGACTGGCCACGAAGACTAGCAGCAGAGAAGGCACGGTTTAGGGGGAGTTCAGAGTTTAGGGCTTAGGTTTTGGGTTAGAGCCCTAAACCCAAACACTAAACCCTAAACCCTAAACCCTATAAGGGGCAGGATTAAAAGGTCTAAGGTCGTAACGGTTTAGTGTCGCAGCGGGGGGAGGAGCGATGTGAGCTTGGAGGAGTTGTAAACGCAAAGCCCACCGCTGCCGTAAGTCAAGGGACTAAGGCTCGTCCCCTTTAAGGCTTAGTGGTTTAGGGTTTAGGGTTTGGGTTTAGGGTTTCGGTTTGGGGGGTTAGGGTTAGGGTTTGGGGTTTTTAGGGTTTAGGGTGTGGGGGGCTTAGGGTTTAGGGTTGTTCCCCTCAATCTCCTCCAAGTATGGCCTTAGACTACCGTAAGGATCTTGAAAAAGGGTCCCCAAAACCAAGGGAACAACTTAAGGGTCCAAGGCGCGAACCCCAAGAGTAAATCTCTTAAGCCCTAAAGGCCGCGTGAGGGATTCCCGTTCAGGGCATTACCGTTAAAGCCGCCCAAATACCTTCAGACCCTAAAATCCACCTAATGCTCTTAACCCCCAAACCCTAAACCTAAACCCTAAACCCCAACACCCAACCCAAACCTGAACCTAAACCCTAAACCCTGAACCCTAAACCCTAAAACTCTCAAGACCCTTTTTAGCCTCAAAGGTGGAGGAGGCGCCGCGAGCTGGTTTGCGACTGGGGCTACTTCGGACTTTCGGCGGGCACGAAGGCAGGTCCAAAGTGGCCTGGCGGCGACGAAGGTTCTAGGAGTTTAGGGTTAGGGATTAGGGTTTAGGGCTAGGGTTAGGGTTAGGGTTTAGGGTTTAGGGTTTAGGGTTAGGGTTGAGGGTTGAGGGTGAGGGTTGAGGGTTTAGGGTTTAGTTTAGTTAGGTTTAGGGTTAGGTTTGAGATTAGGGTTTAGGGTTAGGGTGAGGGATTGGGTTAGGGTTCTAGGGAGCTAGCGTGTAGGGGTTTAGGGTTCTAGGGTTCCAGGGGTGTAGGGTGCAGGGTTTCGGCGTTTAAGCGGTTTATACCCTCATCCGAAAACCTAAACCCCTAAACCCCTAAACCCCTAAACCCCTAAACCCTAAACCCCTAAACCCCCCACCACTAGACCCCTAGACCCTAGACCCCTACCCCTAAACCCCTAAACCTAAACCCCTAAACCCCAAACCCCTACCCTAAACCCTAAGAAACCTAACCCCTAAACACTAAACCCCTAAACCCTAAACCCTAAACCCTAACCCTAACCCCTAAAAAAACCCTAAACCTAAATGCCTAAACCCTAAACCCCTAACCCCTAACCCCTGAAAAACCCCTAAACCCCCCTCAACCCTAACCCATAAACTAAACCCCCCTAAATCCCCAACCCTAAATCCCCTAAACCCCAACCCGAAAACCCTAAACTTCCCCAGTCCTAAGGCCTCAGAACCCTAAAAACCCAAACCCTAGCCCTAAACCCTAAAACCCTAAGCCTAAACCCTAAACCCTAACCCTAAAACCGGACCCTGGTAAGCTCAGAGGCTTAGGAGCTGGAAGCGGCGACCCTGTAGTGGTGGACATCTTTGGCGCATCCACTACGCGCACGTGCTGGAGACGCTTCCCGGTTTGGGGGGGGTTTGGGGTTTGGGGGTTAGGGTTAGGGTTTAGGGGTTTAGGGTGTAGGGGTAGGGTTTAGGGTCTAGGGTCTAGGGTTTAAAGTTTAGGGTTTTTTGGGGTTTTGGGTTTGGGGTTTAGCTCGTTTTTTGGGGGGGGGGGGGGGGGGGGGGGGGGGGGGGGGGGGGGGGGGGGGATTTTAGGTATTTTGGATACTAAGGCTGAGAGAAAAAAAGTCATTCTCAGCGAGTAAACAACAAATAGTTTCGCCAGCATAGACCCCAAAC